AGTCTTGGGGTGTGTGGCTGGAAGCATCCCAGCATCTCCATGCAAGTCCTAGCACAGTGCTTCGTGTGCCAAGGACACTGACTATTTACTAGATGAGCAAATGTATGTGAGAGAATGTTACCAAAGGAAGGAGAAGAGGCTGGATGTACGGGATAATCTTCAACCTCACTGTATGTCAGTTTGCTCACCTAAAAACAAGAGGTTTGCCTACAAGTGAGAGAGAGGCACGGTGTGACTCTGAACACTTCTTTTGGTCCCAACATTCTGTGATAACAGTTTGCACAACTTAGTGCCAATCCTAAATAGATCCGATTTAAGCAAGGAGATATCTGGATGACTTTCTGTTAGGGGTAAATGGGTTTGATTGTCTCTATGCTATAGGGAAAGAGAATGAAAAGTAGTCTTGAAAAATGCTATTTTATGTGGAACAAAGAGAATCAGAGGTTGACCAACTGCAGGGCTATATCCTTATAATCTACTCAAAGTTGCTGCTAACCTGGCCTAAATAAAGAGCCACTGCCTAGAAGTTCTCTTTTGACTTTCTAAAAATAAACCAAATAGGAAGACTTCTACTTGGAGGAAACATTTAGCAATAATAACCACAAAAGTTTGAAAGGGAAACTCATTGTCCAACAAAAGGAAGGAGAAAAAAAAATCTAGATTTCTTCTATTTTTAAAACTTTACTTCCTGAGCTTTCTCAAAAGCTGCTTAGACAGACACAAAAGGGAAATGAGACAGTTAAGAATATTTTAGTTTGTATTTGAAACAAGTGAACAAACAACTATCATGACATCATTTAGGAATAATTTTTTAAAAGGAAACTAAAAGAAAAAAGCCACCGTTACAGTTCATTTCTGTGACGTCCACAGTGCATTTATTCATTGATTCATTCTTTTACTTATTAAGTTTTTGATGAGCCTCTAAGAGGTGTAGGATGTTGGACTAGGCACTGGGTTGGAGATGTGACTCACCTGGTAATTCCACAGTGATCATTCAACATGGGAAATTCATTCCTTCCTTCTGTGTGGTGGGCATGGTGGACTGGCTAATTCAATTTTTATTTGATCATTCTTCTAGTATGTTTTTCTCTGTTGTAGGGTTTGGAATGCTGAAAATTTCATTTCCTATGGTAGTTTCCTCCAACTTGCATGGGATTTGCGAGGCAGAAGTGAAGGAGAGGCCACTTTCTTGACTTTGCCTTATTCTGTTGGCAAACGAGGTCATGGGATGTGAAGTTTTCTGCTAGTGATGTTACCAATTTCATTATCTAGCCTTCTGTATATTTAGAGTAGTTGCTGTGGAGAGGAAGCTGAATGTCACGTTCAGCTTCTTCATCTCCACTTCCTAATTTCATCACTACAGTCATGACTGTATGTTCTTGAACTCAATTGTTCAAATGGTAGTCTCAGAGAAACAGCTTCCAGGGAGTCAGTTCTAAGGAATGGTTCTGTGATTGGTTTCTAGAGACCAAACTCTTCCAAGCATTTTATCAGCCCCTAATTTCACATGTTAGATCCTTTTTTGTTTGAAGTATGAAAAGTGGTTTCTGTTTCCTGCACTGAAGCACACCCAACACAGCCTCCGATATTATTTAGGGATAATAGTAGAACTTGGAGTTTCAGCATTTGGGGATGTTTTTGTTATTAATGTACTGATACTTATGTATTTCCTTTCTCCTATCTTACAAAATATTGCAATGAGAGTTAGAGGATACAGAAGTAAGTCAAAGACATATATATGAGATTGCTTATAAGCAGAATCTTAAAAAAATGAAAATAATGAACTTACTTACAAAACAGAAAGAGACTCACAGGAAACAAACATATGGTTACCAAGAGGAAAGGCGACTGGGAGGGATAAATTGGGAGTCTGGGATGGAAATATACACACAATAGTATTTAAAATAGATAACCAACAAGGTCCTATTGTGGGCTTCCCAGGTGGCAGAGTGGTAAAGAATCCACTTGCCAGTGCATTAGAGGCAGGAGACGTGGGTTCCACCCCTGGGCTGCAAAGATCCCCTGGAGAAGGAAGTGGCAACCCACTCCAGTATTCTTGCCTGGAAAATTCCATGGACAGCAGAGCCAGGTGGGCTACAGTTCGTAGGATCTCAAAGAGTCAGACACGACGGAGTGACCGCGCACACCGGAGCACGCGAGGAGCTACTGTCCGGTGCCAGGAGCTGTGCTCAATGTTCTGTAATAACCTAAATGGGGAAAAGTTGATCAAGACTTTACGGTAAAGAACCTGCCTGTGATGCAGGAGACCAGGGTTCGATCCCTGGGTTGAGAAGTTCCTCTGGAGAAGGGAATCACAGTCCACTCCAGTATTCTTGCTTGGAGAATCCCATAGACAGAGAAGCCTGGCGGGCCACAGTCTGTGGGGTTGCAAAGAGTCAGACACAACTGAGCAACGAACACACACATGTATAACTAGTTTCCAGGTGGCACAGCGGTGAAGAATCCACCTGCCAGTGCATTAGAGGCAGGAGACGTGGGTTCCACCCCTGGGCTGCGAAGATCCCCTGGGGAAGGAAATGGCAACCCACTCCAGTATTCTTGCCTGGGAAATCCCACGGACAGCAGAGCCAGGAGGGCTACAGTTTGTAGGTTCACAGAGAGTCGGACATGATTGAGGGCCTGCGCACGCAGGAGCACGCGAGGAGCTCCTGTCCGGTGCCAGGAGCTGTGCTCAATGTTCTGTAATAGCCTAGAGGGGAAAAGAATCCGAAACAGAACTTATATACGGATATGTATATACATATATAATTAGTTTTTTCCCAGGTGGCGCTAGTGGTAAAGAACCCACCTGCCAATGTAGGAGATAAGAGAGGCAGGTTCGATCCTTGAGTCAGGAAGATCCCCTGGAGGAAGGCATGGCAACCCGCTCCAGTATTCTTGGTGGATCACTTTGCCGTTCACTTGAAACTAACACAATGTTGCAAATTATCTATAATCCAATATAAAATAAAAAAAAAATTTTTTTAAGAAATACATGTAACATTAGGTGGGTTATTGGGATTGGCAATGTGCTGCAGAGACGAAAAGCACGGCCCCAAGTCAGATAACCTGACTTTCCCCCAGAGAATATGAGCTTCTTGAGAACTGGTTCACCATAGATGCCCCAGGTTCTAAAACAATGCCTAGATGAAAAAAGCAGACCGTTATCATAAATTTCCTTTGAATGAATCAGTTTGACTTCCTCGTCTAACACATACTAGCAGAATTACACGGCCCACTGGGAAGGCAGATTACACAGCTAGGATACTTTACCAGAAGCAGAACTTCTGTGCATCTTGGCAGATGAGGCCACAGGTACCAGGGCTGCAGTAGGTCTTCCATCATGGGCTTAATGTAGACTGTGTCCCAGCCTGACTCTCCCTCAAGCAGCCTCTGGAAGAGCTCTGGGAGAAGGGACATGAGAGGCAGTGGCTGGGGCTCCTCATGCAGCGAGGAGGGGGTAGACGTGGGGGTATGCATAGCCTGGGCCTAACACACTCATTTTTGCTCACATGTGGAGCATGAAGAGTCAGATATACAGTTCTTCTGTCAGCCTAGCCTAGGAAAAGATGCAATGTTTTCATTCCTTGGTGAGAGGAGCATTTCTGTATCTGCTGATGACCACCTGATTGCCATTGAAAGTGAAAGTTGCTCAATCGTGTCTGGCTCTTGGGGACTCATGGACTATATAGTTCATGGAATTCTCCAGACCAGAATACTGGAGTGGGTAGCCTTTCCCTTCTCCAGGGGATCTTCCCAACCCAGGGATCCAACCCACGTCTCCCACATTGCAGGTGGATACCCAAGAATACTGGAGTGGGTAGCCTATTCCTTCTCCAGCGGGTCTTCCCGACCCAGGAATTGAACTGGGGTCACCTGCATTTCAGGTGGATTCTTTATTAACTGAAATATCAGTGAAGCCCTGATTACCATTGGCCAGATGCAAATTTTATTCCCAGTGTGATGTGGAGTAAGGATTTGGAGTATAATAAGTAAATGGATTCCATTCTAGCAACAGAAGCATGACACTTGCCTAGCCATATCAGCAAGTTTTATTTCCCTATGTGCCAAATGGGGAAATTGATGGTCACCAGGCAGTTGTGAAGATTACATTTATGTACGCAAAACACAGGTTCTCCCCTGATTTCTCCAACTTAAAAATGGACCCAGTAATTTGTGCTTTCTCTCTACCCCCACCCCTGACTCTCGAATCCCTCCTAGAATCTAATCTCATTGCTCTGTGGAGTATGGGATTCGTGTGACAGATTCGTGCATTATTCATTGACAGTAGCCATGTGCCACACAAAGATACGATGGAGCCAGTGAGGGGCTGACACTCAGGCCCCAAAGCATGCCCCAGTGTCCTTAGATGGGATAATGTTCCACCAGCATCATTACATCCCACCACCCACAGCAGACCATAGTATTCTGTTTTTTTTTCTACAAGTTTTGGGGACAAAAACCGTATTCCTTGAGAGTTCACTTAAAAATCCCTTTTACAAATAAGGCCTCAAAGACAGTGGCTTTCTTTCTAAGCAGTAATCAGTGGCAGCACATTAACTTCTCCTGTTTAATCTCATACTCTGTTTCATCTTTTTCCAGGTGGCCTTAGGCTGTCCCAGGAAGAGAAAGTCAGCAGAAGTGCCCTCCAGGGACCCACAGAGTGAGACAGATAGATAGAGTTGCTTTTCCTATTTATTCCCAACACTTCTTAATGTTTAACACTTTGGGTAAAATCTTCTTATTCCTTCCCCCAAAGAAGAAAAGGGTAAGATTTTTCACTTTGTTTTGCAGAAATGTATTGGTACGACTTATCTTCTAATTACAGTTTCAACATCTTGGTATCATAATGGTTGCTTCAAAGACCATGAAATAATAGATTTCAAGGAGCATAACACCCATGCTTTTTCAGCACATCTGTAATTATTGTATACGTTCTAATTACAATGCTTCTTACCTAGGTATTATTGCTCAAGGAAAAACAAAAACTCCTGCTATTTTCAGTTAGTCTATTTATACTCTGAGACCTTAAGCCTGACTAGTGATCAGGCTTTAGTGATGACTCTGCCATCAATATTCTTTCCTGCAGCCCCACAGTGGTTGCAACCTGAAATGATATAAATGATATAAAAATATTTATGTACAACCTCAAATCTTTTTTTTAATGGACATACAATTGATTTACAATGTTGTGTTAGAATCTGCTGTATTACAAAGTGATTCAGTTATACATACATATATATATATATTTCTCTTTCATATTCTTTTTCATTATAGGTTATTCAGTTCAGTCACTAAATTGTGTCCAACTCTTTGCGACCCATGGACTGCAACACGCCAGGCTTTCCTATCCTTCACTATCTCCTGGATAGAGAGCTCAAACTCATGTCCATCGAGTTGGTGATGCCATCCTACCATCTCATCCTCTGTCATCCCCCTTCTCCTCCTGCCCTCAATCTTTCCCAGCATCAGAGTCTTTGATGTTGAATATAGTTCTCTGTGCTATGAATACATGAAGTGAAGTGAAGTGAAAGTCGCTCAGTCATGTTTGGCTCTTTGCAACCCCATGGACTATACAGTCCATGGAATCCTCCAGGCCAGAATACTGGAGTGGGTAGCCTTTCCCTTCTTCAGGGGATCTTCCCAACCCAGGCATTGAATCCAGGACTCCCACATTGCAGGTGGATTCTTTACCAGCTGAGCCACCAGGGAAGCCATAGTATGTCCTTAGTAGGACCTACTGTTTTTTATATAGTAGTCTGTATCTGCTAATCCCAACCTCCTATTAGTAATGTATCCCTCCTCCCCCTCCCCTTTGGTAGCCATGAGTTTATTTTCTTTAATAAATAAAGAATATTTATTTATTGATTTGGCTGCCTTGGGTCTCAGCTGCAGCACACGGGATCTTCTTCGCATCATGCAGAACCTTTCCTTATGGTGCATGGACTCTCTAGCTGTGATGCAGGCTCCAAAACGTGTGGGCTCAGGAGTTGCGGCTCAAGGGCCCCGTGGCTCCACAGCTTGTGGGATCTTAGTTCCCCCACCAGGGATTGAACTTGCATCTGCATTGCAAGGTGGATTCTTCACCACTGGGCCACCAGGTAAGTGCTCCATAAGTTTGTTTTCTTCCTCTGTGAGTCTATTTCTGTTTGGTAAATAAGTCCATTTGCATCATTTTTTTAGATTCCATATATAAGTGATATCATATGATATTTGTCTTTCTCTGACTTACTTCACTTAGTCGGGTCATCTCTAGGTCCATCCATGTTGCTGAAAGTAGCATTATTTCATCAAATGTTAAAATCTTAGCCCTGTGATTCTCTAGCAAAGAAACACCCCACCCATCTAAGGAAGGGGGTAATTTTCATCTTTCTGCTTAGCTCACTTCTCTGGGGTGTGAGTGGGTGGAGGGTATAGAAGAACTCACAGGAATCAAAATAAACTCACAAAAATCTGTTTCCATCTAATTAGAATTAACTCACTGATCTCATTGGCTAATTTTTCAAAAAATATGCATTAAAAATTGTGTTATTTTTAAAGTTGCTTCTGTGTTTCAGTGTTTGCCTCATGAAAAGTATAGAAAAAACTAAAAACAACTCTAGTCAAAACTGGCAACATCTATACTTCCTGATGTTTCTGACACCTTGAGTACTGTTTGAAAAGTGTGTGCTGCTGAATTATAAGAAGAGATAAAATATTTAGAGTCATTATTTTGTTTCATGTCTTAAAAAAGCAGGAATGGTGGGAAGGACATGGAAGAAGGCATCAGAAGAACAGAAGGACAGTCTTGGCTCTGCTGCTTTCTAGTCTCCCAAGCAAATCACGTAAGCATTCTGAACTGCAGTGTCTTTATTCAACACAATATGGAATATGTGTTTTCTCAGTGGTATGGTTTAGCACTTCTGAAACAACTGTCAGTGTATCCTTGGCATGAGCAATAGGTCAGTATATTGAGGATGTCGGGGGTCAAGTTTTTCATGGTAGGAAGAGGGAGTAACAAAGAGGGAAAGAGAGAAATAAGAAGGAGCCCTGCCGTGTTGGGCTGAAATTAACTGGAGGTGTCAGGATGAACTCATGGCTTTTAGGAAAGTAAAAGTGAGAAAGCAAGAGAGAGAGAGAGAGAGAGGAATATGAGCAGAAAAAGAGGAGGGAGAGAGATTACATATAAAATGGATAAACAACAAGGCCCTGCTGTATAGTACAGAGAATTATATTTAATATCTGTGATAAACCATATGGAAAAGAGTATTAAAAAGAATGTATATATTTTGCTGTATAGAAGAAATTAACATTGAATTATGGAAGAATTAACATTGTAAATCAACTATATGTCAATAAAAAGTTTTTAAAAAGAAAAAGAGGAGGAGGCAGAGGAGAACAGGATGTGGGGAAGAAGAGAGGGAGGAAGGCAGGAAAGAAGGAAGAAAGGAAGCGAGGTAAGCCTGAGTCTAGGATCCTGCAGGAAAAGTACAGCATGTGTCTGGATAACTCCCTGTGCCACAGTAACCAGGCAAACTGAAGCCCCTCAGAATCTGCAAGCACCTTGGAAGGCGACTGGACCATGTGCGTTGGGTGACTTGAAATAATTACATCCAAATCTCAAAAGACCAGGTTCCAATCTGAAATCAATAGAGGGAGGTCAAATTAAAGCAGTCCAATGATATTATTTCCCTTAGATTGCAGATCTGATGGTACTAAGACCTTTGGGCCATTGTCTATTTTATGCCAATTGGCTTGAAGTATGATGTAAAGCAAAAGAAAAAAGGGATGGGATTGTTTCACTTTCTATGTGGCAGATAATTCTAACCCAGAAGCCAGTGAAGCTACCTCGCTTCCTCATTCTCATTGCATCTACTCCCTGAACTATTTTAAGATTCAGTAACGGCTTCTCATTACTCTTAGAATGATCAGAGCCCTTACCACAGTCTAGAAAGCCCTATACAATGTGGTTCCAGCCTTGACACCCAGACCTGGCCCTGCACGCTTCTGCCGCTCGGCGCTACCCTGACCCGGCCTTGGTTAAGCTTGGTCCTCCTGCAGGGGTGCTCCTCCTCCTGCTCGGGATGCTCCTCTCCACCCTCTTCTTTGGACGAACTACTTACTTGTAATACCAGCTTAAAAGTCACTTTCTCAAAGGTGCGCCCTCGAAGTGGGAGAGTAGGACCGATCTGTATACACCACCATGTGTAAAACAGCCGGCTAGTGGGGAGCTGCAGGTGAAGCCCAGGGAGCCCCGCTCGGTGCTCTGTGATGGCCTAGCGCGGGGAGAGGGGTGTGGGTGGGAGGCAGGCTCGGGGGGAAGGCGCATATGTATACACACCGCTGATTTACTTCACGTTCAGCGGAAACTAACAACAGTGTAAAGCAGCTATATCCCACTTTTTAAAAAAAGCACATAGAGTGAAAGCGGGCCAGCTGGCTGAGGGGAGCACAGTATTAGATGACGAGGTAAGGGATGTCTGAGCTGGTGGCGTTTGAATACCTGAATGGCTAATGGGCCCGACCAGACGATCTCAGAGGGAACAATACTCCAGACAGAGGGAACAGCAAATGCAGGAGCTCTGAAACGAAAATGAACCTGACGTGTGGAAAGGAGAGAGGGCGGCAAAGCGTTGCTGGAGAGGGAGAGGGAAGGATGAGCTGAGGACGCACGGGCAGGCAGGTCCACACCGCCAAGAGCCCCATGGGCCGTCTGATTTGATTCTTAGCAAAAGTGGAAGCTATTAAAGGGTTTTTCAGTTGTCTTATATTTTAAACAGTGGGATGATGGAGTATGAAAGCAGGTAAGTCAGTTAGGTATCTAGTTCTGCAGTCCGCATGAGAAATACTGGTTCTGAACTTTGCACTGTGGGGGCAGGAAGGGAGCTGGAGAGAAGTGGGCAGGTTTAGAACTTGTCTTAGAAGTGGTGCTAGCAACCCTCTATTAATGAACCGAATGTGTGGGTGTAAAAGAAGGCCCAGAATCAGGGACTAGTGAGTGGTATTTGGGTTTGAGCAATTCCATGTACACGATTGGGGCTTCCCTGGTGGCTCAGCTGGTAAAGAATCTACCTGCAGTGCAGGAGACCTGGGTTCGATTCCTGGGTGGGGAAGATCCCCTGGAGGAGGGCATGGCATACTCCATGTATGGAATGGAATACTCCAGTACTCCTGCCTGGAGAATCCCCATGGACACAGGAGCCTGGTGGGCTGCAGTCCCTGGGGTCACAATGAGTTGGACACGGCTGAGTNGCTCCTCCGTCCATGGGATTTTCCAGGCAAGAGTACTGGAGTGGGGTGCCGTTGCTGTCTCCGAGTAATTGAGAGTGTGACATCCAAATCCAGTGTGGTGGGAAAAGTGATAGAATCTGGTCTCTGATGACTCCGTGGATTGTCTACTTTTGCACATCTTTAACGTGAGAGAAGAAATACTTGCATGTCTAAATCAGTATCTTTCCCCCTCTTGTGTTAACCAAATCTGTTCATAAATAACACAGAATTGAAGAGAAATGGTAGTGGGTTGGAGATAGACATGAGGTCAACAGCTGTTTGTTTGCTTGTTTTTAAGTCAAATGATTCACTGAGTAGTTATTAGATACTCTGATGTATTCTTTGGAAAAAGTTCCAGAGTTATTCAGGATACCTCTTGTGAAAAGCCATTTGAGTTTTTGTTTCTGGATTTAGATTTAGTATATCAGTCAGTGTTCTTGGTTCTGAGCAATAGAAATGGATGATTTAAGCAGAAAAGGAGATTCAGGGGCTTCCCGGGTGTCTCAGTGGTAAAGAATCCACCTGCAAAGCAGGAGACCCGGGTCCAATCCCTGGGTCAGGAAGGTCCCCTAGAGTAGGACGTAGAAAAGCAAATGCAGGAAGGCAATCAGTGTCTGTGTGTGCTGTGGCTGGGTGGGAAGTCAGACTTGGACGATAGGCAGAGTGAGGGGGGCAGCACCTGAGACCACAGGTACCGTCGTGTCATGGGATCAGTCTGCCAGGGCCGCCGGAGCCCTTGCTGTCAAGGGCTGCATGTCCCCCTGCCCTCGCCACTCCTGGAGGCTGAACAGATTTAGCCAAATAGATTCTCTGCTCCCCTCCCCTCCCTCCTTATGTCAGGCATGCCTATTCAAAATCGTGACGGGGTGGTGGGTTGACCTAACTTATGGACTCATCTCCTAACTGCAAGGGAGGCTGGGAAAGAAGCAATCTGGCCTTTTCAGACTTCTGGAGTGAGTGGTGCTTCCCACAAAAAGTCACATGGGGGCTCAGATGCCAGGTAGACCAAAGTAATAGTTAAAAATGCCAGCAAATATCTAGTATGTTTAGTTTCTTAAGTATTATAATAAACAAGTATTTAGTGTCCACTTAAAAAGTATACAGGCAAGTGACACATACCATGGTAATTTGAATATGGATTTTTAAGTCTATTTGGATTATGTACAGAAAGATAAATTACTTAAAACTATAATAAATGAGTAAAATATATAGAAAAAATCAAAGAAGATACATTTGAATGATAAAATCAGCTTCTGGGTCATAAAACCTATTGCTAAGATAAGCTGGGACAATGTGAATGTCAAATAAAAAATAACTTTCTTTCAGCATTGTTCCTGCTTTTTAATTGGAATATTAATTTTTTAATTTTATAAGACTAGATTTACCCATACATGTCTTTGGAATGTGGGTAATGTCTATTGCATGGAAGGACAATTGGCAAATTCAACCACTATTTTTGTAAACTTGCTAGCATTAACAATTTATCATTTATTTCATAGTTACTATGTGTCACGCATTGTGTGGGGTACACACATTTTCTTATCTTGTCTTCACAATAACCCTTCAAGTCATCCCCACTCTATGGNGCGAGCTACAGTCCATGGGGTTGCAAAGAATTGGACATGACTGAGTGACTGAATATGCATGTACACACATTGAGTGGGAATCCTTCCATCTGAACATGGAAACAGACACATTTACTCTTAAGTCAAAAGGATTGCCTGAGAATAGGTGCAGAACTGGCATCAGTACAGTATTACTTGTGATTATCCACACTGCTTTCAAATAGTTTAACATAAATAATAACTTTAAAGTTCTGTTTAAAGAGAGCTTTACAGTTACTAGGTCACTTTAATCTATACTTGCTCATTTAAAAATCACAGTAATCAGTGGGACTTCCTGGCAGTGCAGTGTTTAAAACTTGCCTTCCAATGCAGGGGATGCAGGCTCAATCCCTCACTGGGGAGCTAAGATTCCACATGCCTCATGGCCAAAAAACCAGAACATAAAACAACAGAAGCAATATTGTAACAAATTCAATAAGACTTTTAAAATGGTTCACATTTTTTAAAAAGTCTTTGAAAATAAAAGGTTTAAATTAAAAAAAAATACAGCAATCTGTGCTAAAACTGGAGGATTAAAATTATTTTCATCTTATAGCCAAGTAAATAAAAACACAGAGGGGACAAAACCAACAATTTGTTCTAGAGATTGGAAGGCTCACAGAAGTAAAAGGCCTTCCTGTAGTGTTTGCATCAGGAGTGGATATCTGACTCAAACTGGCCCAGTCAGATATCCTTCTAAGATGGTTTGGAAGGGTGACCAAAAATCGAGCTGTTTGTCTCTCGGGGATCTGGGGTGCGGTTCTTCTATCATAAATGGTGAAGCAGGAAGAGGAGGGTTAGGGAAAGGGGAGAGGGGTGAAGGGAGGCAGGAGAACTTTTGTGGGTTCTGATTCAGGCTGTTCATCTGCCTCAGGTCCCCGAGATAGACTTGCATCTAAGATAGAGAGCTTGGAGCAGAACCTGAATAGACTACAGAAGACACTTATCAATGCTTAAGCGAAGTAGAGAACTCATGGAACAGAACTCTGGTGGAAACAGGACTCCTGCTTGATCCAGGGTTGCCAAGAATCATGAAACAGAATGCAAAAAAATAACTTGAATTCCAATCTTGTCTTGGGTCTCTTGTGGACAATTCACAATGTTTTTTATAAGAACATCTTTTTAAAAAACCACTTATGCCTGATTCCTGGCTCCTCAGGCCTATTTTGAAACTACTCACATAACAAACAAAAAACTCTGTAACATTTCAGCATGTGTGGATTTATGTCTCATTGTTCTCACTCCCTTCCTCCCCCTCCTGTTCTTTCCTCCCCTTATCTTTATTACTCATCACAGAAACTTGGAAACTTGGGAGTGGGTAGAGAAGAAATAGAAGTTTCGAGAAAAACTGGTAATATTTACATGTTCAGAAATTTAACTCATGCTACATATGTTTATAATAAACTGGTTTTTGCCTAAAATGATATGAGCTGGTTTCTATTATTTCTATCAAAGAGTTTTAAGTAATGTGTTCTAGGAGATAGTGGTAGAATTGATGCAAGAACTTGAGTCTTTTGACTTAAAATTTCTTGCTCTTTTTGCATACCCTGACTCTGTCTGCGTAGTCTTCGACTGCCAGAGAACTGAGGATTCTTTAATCCTCTGAGTACTTTAAAACAGTTTTGTATTTCTTACTAGTCCATGAGGGCAGGTACTATGTCTGTTTTGCTCACTTGTGTATTTTGAACGCCTAACACATTGTTGATGTGTGAAAAATTGTTGCTGCTAAAAAAAAAAAATCATTGAATGAATGAAAGAATGAAGTCTCATCTTCATTTTTTTAAATTTCATGATCTTATTTACATTTGTGGAGTATCTTGACAGAAAAATATAGTAGATGAATACAACTATGAATACAGTTGCTCTTAAATTTAAGCTGTCTTTCAAGATAAAATTTTGAATTTCTGATAATTTTTCATTATTGTTTCTGGGTTTTCCTTGTATTTTATATCTTGAGGGAAGCTTTTTCAATTAACTGTGATTTCTGTTGAAAGCTCTTTACTCCAAGAGGGCAATCAGTCTTATCTTCAAGTGCGTTATATGTTAGCATGAAGGGGAGTGGAGGCTAATTTTGCTAATCAGAAACAGCTCCAGTTACATAGCTCAGGGTTAAAATTATGGGATGGACAATAGACAGGGGAAAAGATTGATGAAACAATATTTCAAGCCATGTTTTCCACACATGTTGCAATGAATCTGTATTGGCATTATGATGAATACAAGTCATAATTGACTTGGTTGAAAGCCCAGTGAGTGTGTTGTGTGATAGTGACAATTGTACTGGGCTGTGAAAAATCTTCCTTGAGATTTGGAAAAAACTTCTTGTTCTTACAGTCCAACAACATTTGTAACAGAAGAGACTTAACCTTAATATCAGCTTTATTCTTCTAAGAAACAGCTTCCTGACCCATACCCCCAAAGGACCTGAATTTCTTCTCCCAGGGACTCAGGCCTTCCTACCTCTCTCCCTACCAACCTTAGATCTTGGATTCAGAAGAAGGTGGACATAACATTCCAGGGGCGAGAAAGGATCACAGTTATGGCGGCGTCCTTGATCTCTCAAACTGAGCTGAGCTATCAGTGGGGAGCAGAGAGTGCTCTGAACTGAAAGATCAAAGTTTAAGGTTCAAAACTTAACTCTGGCACTTCCTAGCTTTGTGACCTCCAAAAAGTTAATTAGTTCTTCTGGTAATAAATTCCTCAACCTTAAAACAGGAATAATGGTACTTTTACAGGCTTACTACTAAATGAGGTGATATCTTAAATACCTGGTACATGTAGACCTCCACAAAGGAATGCTTTCTCATGTTCATTCCCAGCTTCTCTCCTTCATTCAATTTTGTGCCCCTACAAGGAAAAACCTGTGACTCCCACTTCTGAGATTTTTCTCTGAAACATGTCTTCCTTTGACTCTTGGGAAGATGTGCAGAGATTGAAACTCTCCCCCGCATCTGTGTCTCCAGGGCACTCGGACTCCACAGCCTGGCGAGCTTGCAGGGAAAATGTCAAGTTCAGAGTCTCCAAGAACCTTGCTCACTCAAGCCCTTGAGTACCAAGTGACAGGCAAATGGTCAACCGTGTTGATGCCTATTCTCTTTTTCTGGTATCATACAAGGAGCTCATAAAGTACCATAGTGAAAGAGAGTGTTAGTCACTAAGTCATGTCAGACTCTTTGTGACCCCATGGACTGGAGCCCACCACCCCTCTGTCCTCAGAATTCTCCAGGCAAGGTACTGGTGAGTGTTGCCATTCTCTTCTCCAGGGGATCTTTCCAACCCAGGGATCAAACCCAGGTCTGCTGCATTGCAGGCAGATTCTTTATCATCTGAGTCACCAGGGAAGCCTATAAAGTATCATAAGCTCATGGATTACAACAGGCAATGACACAGTAGTTGACTAAAAAGATCATCTTTTAAATACTTTTAAATAATAATTTAGACTTGCATGTTAAGATAATTTTCCCAAACTAGGATAAATTTTTAGTAGAAAGTGGGTGTGAGACTAAGGCAAATTTTGCATCGTGTCAAAAAACTTTGTTTAGATCATCTTCACGTACACAAGTAAATTATATTATTGATGGCTATGGCTTATTATATATGGTAAGATATAAGCAAAAAGTTTAACCTATTAATGGATTGAAATCACTAATTCTCTCAGATTCTGTGATTCTTTGTAAAGGGAGAGAATTGAATCTCTGTAAAAATAAAGCCACTTTTTATTTCTGCAATATATATTTTCCATGCTAATCTCCTTTCTACTTTGGGTAGCATAGCCAAATATCTTGGTTTGCCTGATGCTCCAATACTTTGGCCATTTGATGCAAAGAGCCGACTCACGGGAAAAGACACTGATACTGGGAAAGATTGAGGGCAGGAGGAGCAGGTGGTGACAGAGGATGAGATGGTTGGATGGCATCAGCGACTCAATGCACATGAATTTGAGCAAATTCTGGGAGATAGTGAAGGACAGGGAAGCCTGGTGGGCTGTGGTCCATGGGGTTGCAAAGAGCCAGACATGACTGAGTGACTGAACTGACTGGGGAGGTATATACACTTGCACTTGGGGAGATGATTTCAGCTGGATCATGGAGTTTAGATTATGGAGTGGGAGCAACTTAATGAAACGAGGTTCCTAGGAGTAAATTCTTCCCCAAGGAGCCTTCCCTGGGACTTCCCTGGTGGCGCAGTGGATAAGAATCTGCCTGCCAATGCAGGGGACATGGGTTTAATCCCTGGTCCAGGAAGATTCCACATACCTTGAAGAAACTAAGCCCATGCATCACAATTACTGAGCCCACACTCTAGAGCCCACAAGCTGCAACTACTGAAGCCTGGATGCCTAGAGTCTGTGCTCTGCAACAATGAGAAGCCTGCACACTGCAATGATGAGTAGCCCCCACTTACTGCAGCAAGATGCAGGTCAGACAAAGCAACAAAGACTCAGCATAACCAAAAAATTTAAAATGTAAATAAATAATATTATTAAAAAATCCTTCCCTGTATCTAGGCCATGCCAGATCTCCTCCAGCATGTGCCACATGACTCTCAGAGAGTAATATGACAGTAACGGATGTATATTCCTCTGATCTTCTATGGGACTCCAAGCACTGAAGGAGGATTAACTGGTACCCAGACACTTCTCCCTTCTTCACAATACCCTGCAAGGGACAATGCCCACTTTCCCTCCCTCCAAAATGTTTGTTGAATGACTGAAAGAACATGCAATCATACAAACTTGTTCCACCTGTAGATAACCTTCTCAACCAGAATTCCATTCCTGTCTATCTCAAACAATGTCTCTTGGAACTGTCCTATAGATCAAACCAGAACAGACTTGCCAAATCCAAAGGAGGATACATAGTTTAATTTAAATTTCAGATAAACAACAAAGTTTGTGATGGACAAGGGAGCCTGGCATGCTGAGGTTCATGGGGTTGCAAAGAGTCAGACAGGACTGAGTGACTGAACTAAACTGATAAGAGACAGAAATCAATTGGTGGTGCCAGAAGATGAGAGTAAAGGAAAATAGAGAGTGATTACTTCTGCAGTAAATGGTAGGGATGTTCTTCTTATATGATGAAAATGTTTAGAAAGTAGAGGTAGTGGTTTCATAACACTGTGAGTGCACTAAATGACCGTGAGTTTTACACTTTAAAAAGGTTAACTGTGTTATTTGAATTTCACTTCAGTAAAAACAAGTGAGCAGTTCTGAGCTGTTATGAGCTCAAACATCTCTAGTACTTCCTTTCTGAGATAAACTTGGGTAATCTAGGATCTCTGTGTTTATTATATTCTCTAAGTTCCTTGCTTTCATATATCTCATTTTTCACCATTATAACTAGATAGCAAGATCAAAGCACCCCACTTCACTTAGTTACTGTATCTTTGAGTAAGTTCCAATATATACATATTTTACCTAATAAAAAGATCTTATATCCTCAGCCTTTCAATCTTACATATTAGAAAAATGTTAATTTCTCTCCATAAACANACCAGTCCATCCTAAAGGAGATCAGTCCTGGGTGTTCATTGGAAGGACTGATGTTGAAGCTGAAACTCCGGTACTTTGGCCACCTGATGCAAAGAGCTGACTCATTTGAAAAGACCCTGATGCTGGGAAAGATTGAGGGCAGGAGGAGAAGGAGACAACAGAGGATGAGATGGTTGGATGGCATCACCGACTGAATGGACATGGGTTTGGGTGGACTCCGGGAGTTGGTGATGGACAGGGAGGCCTGGCGTGCTGTGGTTCATGGGGTCACAGAGAGTCGGACATGGCTGAGTGACTGAAGTGAACTGAACTTGGAGAGGAAAAATATATGCCCTTAATATATCTAATTTTAATTACCCTTCAATTATGAATGTAGATGACAAACCAGGGTGGTGTTATTTCTCCTGTGACTTCATTATCAAGAAAATCTACAGATATTTTCATGTCTATAGCTATTGCAGATTTGCAAAATATCACCCATATTCATTGGTATTTCTGAATTAGAAAGATCACATGGACCACAATCTTCATGTTTAGAGATACTGTGCAGTGTTGCTGGCCAGCTATTGGTCAACTCTATACTTTCATCACACAAATAATGTAGTCCTGGACCGGAATCCCAAACAACTATGCTGCTTTACAAGATGAACCACCTACAATTGTTTGCTGATCAATATGAAGAACTAGTTCTTAAATGTGTGCAGCACTAGAGCGTTTAAATAAGAATTCTCCACTCTCTGTAAGGCAGCGGGGCCTTCTGAACAGAGAGCATAAATTCTACTGTCGCCGAAATGGATGCTTTTGGAAATCTTGCTGTCAGTGCTGTAGCGGATGCTTTACCTCAGGACGATGAGATGCAAAAATCTCTTTCAATTTCTTTGAAAAGACAGATTTGCAAACATCTGGAAACAGTTCAGAAAGTTCTACTAGTTATTCTCTATTGATGACATCAAAATTGAACCATGAACTCTTACTCTTTTTTCTTTTTGCTATGAAGTAGATTAAGATGATGAGCTAGTCAAAGGGGAATTCATTAGTCTTAGGATAAAAAAAAAAAAAAGACTCCAGTTGGAGTTTAATTCAAAAAACCTTGGAGAGTTCAGTTGTTCCTCTACAGAAACTATTCTTGTCTTGTAAAGTAGCTTTAAAAGCTTTAAACCATTTACAAGGATTTACATTTACAAATCAGCAGTCTCAATGTCTGTAACAATAACAAAAAATTGACATAAGTTGTTTATCCAACAAGACATGTCTATAGCTTTTTCAAAGACCTCTCCAAAGATTAATGTTCAATCTAGCAACAACAGACTTCCCACTGACAAGTCTTTACAGATAAATTTTTAAAATTTGTTTATATTTTAATGTATTTTTGAACTTAACACACTAATAAAAAACACATAGTATTATATTACACATTTGTTTTTCACAGCTGTTTTGACAGCCACGTCTCAGTGTCATTGGTTTCTCTTGTAAATCTGTGTATTTCATCTTTTTGCATTAAGAAATATCATTCTGAAAGAGATCCCTAGCTTGATCAGTTTGCCTCTAGAGTGCTAACAGGGCCCATGATACACATACAGAGTTAATAATACTGGCTTTGGGGAATTTCCTGGAAGTCCAGTGGTGAGGATTCAGCACTTTTACTGCTGAGGGCCCAGGTTCAGTTCCTGGTCAGGGAACTAAGATCCCACAGGTTGCTCAGGGCAGCCAAATATATATATATATATATGTATATATATATATATCAGTTCCTGTTGTCTATGGCTTGATAATTTCTGAGAGAAAAAATGGGACTCCTTGTCCAGGCCCATAATCATGGACCATCAAGTTTTCCTGAACTTGTTCCTAAGTAGAGTCTACAGGATTCTAACAAATAACTTAATTTAACAAAACAAAACACTGGCTTTGGAGCTGCATCTCAAGGTAGAAACTTCTAGGAGACATAGCAGGCATACTACCATTTATTCACTGTACAGAACTGTAAGGTCTTGCATATGGTTGTGAAGGACTGAATAGAATATTTACTGTATAGGCTCAGGTATACATCATGTCAACAAATGGTTAGACATGATGAGCACCACAGAGAAATACAGGTGAATTTCTAAGGATGGCCAGAAGAAAGACTGTTATCAGGAATAGCAGGGAACACAAGGAAAAAGTGGTATTCCTGCTGGTTTGGATGGAATTGGTAAAAATCTGAATATTTCAAGTGAGGATATTCATGCTAACTTTGTCCATAGGCCATGCAGACCAGAGACCTCAGAGCTACCCTTGAATTCTCCTCCTCACACCTGCATCTGTGATCAAGTCTTGTCCCTTAGGTCTCTTTCCTAGTCTTATTTCCGTTGCTCCTATTTATCCCCAGGAATATTGCCTGGCTTCATGCTTTTTACCAGAACTACTGGAACAGCCTCCTGCCTGGACCTCCATCTCCTTTCTCAAGTCTCTTCCACACAGCTTATCCTAACTACAATGAAAATAATATATTCTTTATTTGCAGTAAATTATTATTATATTATTATTATTTTCAGTAAGTTAAAGAAATGTTCAGGTTTTAGTATTTTACATATATGACATTAAGCCCCACATTAAAGTGTGGAATATTCACATACAACATGTATGTTAACATTGACGAGAATGCATTGGAGCTGTAGTTGTCAATCTTGGCAACACATATAATCATCATTTACGGATCTATTAAAAGGTCCTGATGCAGGAGACCTACCCTTGCAGTTCTGGTATAACGTCCATGGAGACAGAGCTCCTGACCGTCAGCCTGTTCCTGTCTGCCTCTCTAGTTTTGACGTTTATCTGCTCCCCCGTGTACCCCATCAAATTGCTGGTGTTGCTCAAATCCCCATGAGGGTCCCAGGACGTCCGACATGGTACACTTATCCTCCTGGTCTAAACATTTCTTTAGATGTCTCAGCTCACCTTTGTAGGGAGATTTTCAGTCTTCTCCAGGTAAGATGGGCCGCTCTCCTTTTTGCCCCTGCTCTGATCTGTATGTCCTTGTATCATAGCAACCACATACATTGACTTGTGTTCCTCCCCGCCCCCCCACTATTAATGGCACTGGAATGGAAGCCGTCTCCCTTGTGTCATTTTCATGAATATATTTCCAATGATTTTAAAACCTTGCTGGCACAGCTCCTACTATGTGGAAATATCACAAATAAGCTGGAACAAAATTTAGCTTTTTCCTCTATATTTGCTGAAGCAAATAAGGTACAGTTGCTCAGTACCTTATTTATCAACCTCCTTTTGTATTAGTGTAAGTAATACGATCCTGTTTTTCTGTGATAGACATCTTTGTAATAAAACATGTGTGAGAACTCAACTGGGAGTTTTGAGAAATGTATCTTTCTCATTAATTATTTTAAAAATCCCTCTTGGAGTCATGACAAACATAGCATGATAAAGTTTCTATTGAAGTGAAATTAAGCCCAGATGTCAATCTTTTATTTCGCTTGGGAGTTTCACACCAACATACACCAGAAAAGCGGCAGCTGCTGCTTTTACAAGTGGTAGAATCCCCGGGCAGATGGGATCCGCTCAGCTTGGGACTCTTCGGAGGCTGTGGGAGTAGTACATTGTGAGCTCTCATTTGCAATTCTGGGCAAAATTTGCAAAAGGGCTTCTCAGCGAGAAGTCTATATTTGCATACTCAAATTAGATGCATACAAATATGAATGCCTCCAACCTGGTATCCACATCACATCATCACCCTCCGGCAACACTGATCTATCTTGAATGATAACCCCTAACTTTGAAAATTGAACCTTAAATTTTATATTATGTTATTTCTCCTATTCCTTTTTGATTTTCAAGTCATTAATCATAGTCTAGAGAAAAGCAACTTCTCATTGCGTTCTCTTAGATACCCTAAGGATACAGACCCCTCAAATAATTAAACTTAGGGGAAATATTTTTAAATGAGTTTATTTCCCAAGTGTAAATTCTGCTAAATTTTTAAAATCTGAGTCTTATCACTATTAAATTATGTGCTCAGTTGCTTGGTTGTATCTGATTCTTTGCAACCCCACTCAGTCATATCTGACTCTGAGACCCTGTGGGCTGTAGCCCACCAGGGTCCTCTGTCCATGGGATTTTCTGGACAAGAATACTGGAGTGGTTGCCACTTGCTTCTCCAGGGGATCTTCCTGACCCAGGGATCAAATCTGTGTCTCTTGCATCTCCTGCTTGGCAGGCAGATTCTTTACTGCTGTGCCACTTGGGAAGCCATATTAAATTATGTAGGAAAGTCATAATGAAAAATCTCAACTATATAAGAATTCCTACTTTCTATGTGCTACTTTAAAAACATGATCAGAAGACCCCCTACATCAAAACAAAATGCAGATTCCTGTCCTACCACTAATGAGAAATTTGCATTCCTAGTGATTTCTATGAGCCATAAAGTTTGAGAACTACTGCTCTAAGTCATTTTGAAAATTACACACTCCAGATAAAATGGCTTTTTAAATTTCCCTTTTTATAATCTGCTGTGTGCAAGTCTGGATTCTGCTGACATTTTTACTTCTTATGCTGGGTTGGCCATATTTGTCCCTCAAGATCTAATATTGATAATCACTGATTTAGTTCCATGTGACCAAAGACAGAATCCAGTTATTATCAGTCTCATAATTGGCTACTTTTCTTCTTTCCTTTTTTTTTTTTTTTGCATTTGATATCTTTAACTTCAAATCTTAGGTTCTTAAAATATGGTTATTCTCTTGTGAAGTCAGTTATAAGTATTCTTTTAGCTATAGCAAGAACTGTTTTTAAAAGTCCATATTCAATATCTTATAATAACCTACAATGAAAAACAATATATAATGTGTGTATATGTGTATGAAAAAGAATATATAATGTGTGTATATGTGTGTATATATATATATATATATATATATAAAGTCTGAATACACATAACTAAGTCTACTGTACACTCGAAATTAACACAACATAGTGAATCAACTATTCAGTTCAGTCACTCAGTCATGTCCAACTCTTTGTGACCCCATGGACTGCAGCACGCCAGGCTTCCCTGTCCATCACCAACTCCCAGAGCTTACTCAAACTCCTGTCCATCAAGTCAGTGATGCCATCCAACCATCTCACCCTCTGCGGTCCCCTTCTCCTCCTGCCTTCAATCTTTCCCAGCATCAGGGTCTTTTCC